ATAAATGTCTTCCTCTGTGGGGTTTCATTTTTTATAAAGGATTTTGCGTTTTAATTAATGGATTAATTAATTATGCCACAATACTTTTTTGAGAACTGATTATATCTGAGTGTGAAATTTTATATCATTTGCAAGGGTTAATAAATGTCCAATTATTATAGTGTGAGTTACATTACATTCTTATGTAAATACAAGTAAATCAATCCATGTCAAATACTGTCAGTCTCTGAGAAAATAAATAGATGAAACTGCAAATGAATTACCTGCAAATACAATTTCATATTCACTAGAGAAAATATAGTCTTGTAAGACCTTTTATGGAGTTTTATTGCTAATAACATGTCTTAAAAGCTGTAAAAATGTATCAACTGCTGAACATGATTGAAATATTGAAATACATCATACTTATTTTAATACACAATACTTTGTATGACTTATAAAAATGGGAAAAATTGGATCAAAACTACATATCTGTATTATAATGGCACTTAAATTAATGTTAGAAAATCATGCATTCATATTTTTCGTCATATTTTAAAATGAAGAAATCTCTTGAAAATGAATCTGTTATACTGGCTGGGATATGTGAACTTAATGATCAATATTGAAACAGAATATCAAATAATATCAATAAACACTCGCCTCTGAAATATGTCATAACTCTTGAGGTTGTTTAACACTAGAGTTTCCCATGTTAATGGAATTCTAATGATTCTCTGTCAGATTATGAAATTATATACATGAACCAGGTATTTAGAAAATTACCAAATGTCATCAAGGCATTTTTTGCTATTTCCTCTTTTGTGCATTAGAATATACTTTACATCTGAGTACATTAGTGTAATGTTCTGATTTCTCCCAAGACAATCTCCATCAAATAGAATTATAAGCCGTTCCCTGTGAATACATCATTATGGTATATTATTCTATAGAGCAATATAATTAGAAAAAAGTGGAATGGGGAAAAAATTGAAAATACACAAATAAAGGTAGGGATTTTGAGGGTTTAAAATCTAAAAAATCAGCAACTATATGCAGATTTCTAAGAAAGGAAGATAAAGAAGCATGATCTGATGAAATCTTTTAGACAGGTCTAAGCTGCTTACTCGCTGCATGTCTATCAGGCTATAATGTTCCCTTAAGAAAATTGTCACATTCAATATCCCTGATCGCATAAAAATCAATAGGATAGAAATTTTGAATTGCAGTGAAAAAATATAAAACTTGCAATTTGGGGTAGAATGTTCTATATTTGAGATATTTTGAGTTTTTCTGAAATTGATATAAAAAGGTTCTGACAGCTAAGAGATGTTACTTTAGTTTATTATAGCTGTTTCTAAGTTTATTGATATATTTATTACTGTCATTAACTGGCTTAATTGTTATTTAATGTGGTAAATGCCATGTGTAAGTAACAATATGCAATTCTTAGCAACCTTTCAGACAATAAAGAGGTTTAAAGATTGGCATTTTCAGTTTTTGTTCTTTTTTGTCTTACTGAAAATTGAAAGTTTATAGTGTCACACTGGCTTATAAATGAAGTAAAGTATATTGCTGAAGTAAAACGTGATCATTTGAAACTTACAGTACAATTTGTCTCATCTGAAAACTAGTAGGAAAGGCCAACAAATCTTCACATTTCTTAATATGTGAGTCAATTGTAGATATCAAAATTTGTACCTAAGAAGTGTTCACATTGAGAGGTGTTCAGATTAGACAGGTGTTCGGGTATATAGGTTTTACTGTATTACTTTTACTACTTTAATAGCCTTGCAGTATGCCAGAATATGGTAGATGTATTGATATCATTACATTTATAACATTCATTCAGTGGTTGGAATTAATTTAAATGCACATATAATGAAATATTGGTACAAACATCATTGATCAAGGATAGTTTGTTTGGAGTATAGTTTTTATAATTTTTTCCTGACAAAGATCCTTGGTACTTATAAGATCTCACCATAGAATCAGATATGAATATGATACCATCTGATGAAATATTATTATGATGACATATTCTTTAATTTATTGTCTTGATACATCAACATTGAATATTTACTTGTGTTAATATGTCTGTAAATATATATGTTCAGTCTCATCAAGTGTTTATCAAAGATATATTATCATGTCAGTGTTTTGATTAGGTTCAAATAGACATCTTTCAATTGTTGATGCTGTATAAGATACATCATTATAAACCATGACATCTCATTTCTTCTCAGCCCTGTGATGTTTCAAGTGAAACAGAAAGATGCTATGAGTATCAGAATGAATAAGATGGTATTTGATTTAATTGTACAAGTATTACACTCCCCTCTATAAGTTTGGCAACTGAAAGGCCCCATTAATTGGTCTCTTATCAAAACTGGAAATTATGACAAAAATGAATTTTTCAATCACAAAACATTCTTAACTATTATAATTGAGGATCAAAATTAAAGATTCAGACATCAACAGACTTTGAGTATGATATCCAATGAAAATTTCCGGTTGTCAAACTTATGGAGGGGAGTGTAAATGGTGGTGTTCTGGTATTGGTATGGTATAATATCAATATCATGGTGCATTGGGTAATATGGTACTCTGTCGGTATGGCTTGTGAGAAGAAAAGAAAGTAATACGCGTAACCTTATAATTCAGTGCCATATTTTGCTACAGTAAATTGACCTGCTGTCGACCGTTTTAAAAAGCAATGAAGCAGGAAATATGAATGTCAGTTAATATATAACTCATTTTGAAAATGTCAGAGTATTGCAATGAAATGAGTTGAATCTTGTATATGATTCAACGCAATTTGTTTAAAATCTGTTATCCTTTGTCTCTATTCATTTCTTTAGTAAATGTATATCACAAAAAGAACAAAACTTATTTTTTGTCAATACCTATGCTCCCCTAATTGATTGAAAATGCCTGTACAAAAAATAATATCTCAATTGTGCTAATCTCAATTTTTCTCAAAAAGAATAGAACTCGGGAATTATATCTCAAATTAGTTATATTATTCCACAACTGGGCATCAGTATCCTTGCTCATTTCACCCTTTTCATGTCATCTTCTGAGTAACCATAGTTACAGTTTGACATTTTCAAGCAGGTAGAATGCATCTTGTAAAAGCAGAAATTCTATGATTGATGCCTGGACTGGAGTATGCCTATCAATAATGTTGTGTTAAAGCAAGCGTGGAAGAGTAATGTTCGCAATCATGCTTGATTGATGGAACTCCGCAGAACAGGACAACGGATTACATCCTCTATAGCTATTGTTTCTTCTCCATCGCATTTACTATTCAATCCTGAAATATGGAACTTTATTTTTTCAGATTAATGTCCCAAGTGGATGTTACCTTTAATTATTGAATATTAAATATTATGGCTGTTTTTGATTATTAATTATTATATTATGGCATTTTAATTTATGAAATGTTTCATTGTACAACACCTGTTTCTTTGATTAATGATATAATCAGATTTTGGTCAATGCTTGATAAAGTTCCCTGTAGAACTTATCTTTAAACATGTTTGTGCCTATATGTGACATTCTGATAGTTCCCAATTAATTAGATACAAGAGTATTTAATTTTATAAAGCATATTTTATTAAGTTTTCACACTTGACAGGTTCATTTTCCAAATATGACAGCTTATTGTACGAATTGGGAGGACGTTTTTTAACATGGGAATCAATGGAGAAAAATTAAGATGGGAATGGAAAGTGTTCTCATTGGAAAGTGTTCTGTTGGGAGAAATATTATTGCATATAGACATACCATAAGTATGTGATCATTTAGATGATTTGTTTCACTTGTTTCCATGGCATTAAAGCAATGAAGTGTATACAGACTGGTGTCTAGCTAGTTACATATCCCTGACAAAATATTAAAATTATACCTTTAGTATAAAAAATAAGGTTTACTTTTAATAACTCATGAAAGGGTTTATGAATAAATAGAAATGATGAATAGATATATCCAAATAAAGTTACGATTTTAAATTTCAAAAATTATTTTTGTTTCACTCGTTTTAGATAACACTTCAAAGAGCAAGACTTTAGTCTTTGAAATGGGATATTTTGTAAATATTTCCTTTCTTTTACAATATAAATCATGTCCAGTATGATTGATATTATTGTTTTTTAAAACACAATGAATAATTTCTATTACAAAACTCCATGTAGATTGTGCATGTATGGCTTGCATCTCTATCAGAATGGTTGTCTCCATGCATGAGGCAGAAGAGGCATTTGCCTCTCCAGAATAGTAGCATATAATAATACCTCATCTTTGCCTCACCTATTTTCAGACTGGCAGCCCCCCCCCCCTTTGGGCATTGCTGGGCCTTAGTTTTTAATTGTAGGGCCCCAAAATTATTTTTTAGACTTGAAATGTGCCCCCCCCCCTTGTTAGTTTTCAGATCAGTCCCTGAGACATTCATTGATATGTTACCTTATTTGAAAAGTTTTTTATTTGAAATCCAGAGCATAAGATAGATTCCAGCTAGTAAGTTATATTAATGCTTTTTTTCATAAATGCAATGAACATAACTCTAGATAAGAAAGAAAACATTATTTCATAACATCCCAGTGGAGACAAAATTCTTTAGATTTACGTCGATGCATCTAATCATTCTTATTTTGATTTAATGTGTGTATAAATTAGAAATAAAGATATCATCTGGAAAAATGGCTATAACATAATTTGAAACCTTATATCTGTTACAGTTATTTCTTCTGATCAGTCTTTTCAGAACACATTCAAAGATTAGAAGAACTTCATCATGTAGAAGAGAAACACATATAATTTTGGCTCAATATGGAATTTCCCACTTGTTCCTTTGAGAAGAGAAGTTATTCCGTTGTATTGTCTATATGTGTACTGTATCACCATTAACTGTAGCTTCTGCATCAGGCAAAACAATTGATATTTGATAATATCATTCTTTGTGTTTACTAGTATTTAAGATGTATCATTATTATTAAGACATATTCTTGCTGTGTTTGCAGGTTGTGGGTGGTGTCAGACCTCAAATATAAAGATGACAATTACAAGCACCTGGCCTGCAGTAGGGGCTGATAAAACCATCAAGACACGTGAAGGTTCAGAGGTTTGGTTTACGTGCAGAGGAGACGGTCTTCCAAATGCATATACTGTAAGTTTCAATCAGCTTCTGTATTTGGCAAAACAATTATGTTTGATATCTTTCTTTGTTCTTGCAATTAACACATGTTAAACTCCATATTTGATATTTCTCATATTTAAAAGAGTGTTTTCATTAAAGATTTTAATTAACATATTTCAGGCCAGATGGCAGTTCATTCAATATGACGAAAAGGGCGAGATGTCTGATTTCTACGATGTTGCCCGTGATACCACGCCTGAAACTCCAGATTATGAAGTCGAGAAATTAGATTCGAATATTTGGAAATTGAAAATTCCAACCCTAAAAGACTATATGGTTGGGGAGTATGCCTGCTACCTCAGATACAGGGGGGTGAAGTATGATGACTCCAGGAAAGTAGTCATGCTTGGTGAGTTCATGTAGAGAGGATTTATCTTGTTTTCAGTTTGTGTTCTCATAGTGATGATTGCTGATTCAGCACAAACTACTTCAAAGACCAGGCCCATAGCCAGGGGGGTTTGGGGGGTTCATTCAAAATCATGCAATTTTTGGACGGCCTCCTCTGTGACCCCCCCCCCTCTATTTGACTAAACACCTTCTCTCACAGGGGTTGTAGCTAGACTACTTTTGAATACTGTTCAGAATCTTTGCTTATGAACCTCTTTATGAATTCCACTCTATTTTATAACAAATAACTTAAATATCATAATCCCTTTCAGTGAAGCCAGAGATTCAACATCACCATATGAACGCAACAAACTCTGTCATTCAAGAGGGGAAGAGTCTAGAATTATACTGTAACGCGACAGGTTTCCCCAGACCAACTATACGCTGGAGCAGACCAGACGGCAAAACAATCCCTGGTATTCCTGGAGGCCTTTATAGAAATGTGAGTGAAAATGATATTACTGTATATGGCTATCATTTGATTTTCATTACTGTCGTATGTGTATATAACATTCATGTTGTTCAAATTATCTATTCACATATTTTATTTTTTGTGATGAAAAACATTATTTATTTGTTATTTTTGTGATATAGTTCAATGTAATTCTGAATAAATTGGTCTCATTTTAAACCAATGACATACCTTATATATAAAGTGAAAGATTACCAAAAAGGGCTAAATATACAAATATATTGAGATTATTTTTAAACTAGCATTTGATATTCCATGTGATTCGATTTCCATTTCAGGGGGAAATGCTACTCCTGAAAAACATTGAGCCAGAAGATAGAGGGATGTATGTCTGTGAAGCCAAAAATGAGCTCAACGAATTTGACTCGAGAATGTTCAAAATTAATGTTGAATGTAAGAAGAATTTATTGCTCTGCTTGATACAAATTATTAATGATTCCAAAGATTCTAGTATAGACCCCATGTGAAAAATATGTGTAATATCTAAATGCACAGTTTGAAATTTTGTGCAATGTCAAAGTGCACAGTATGTGATTGTGTGTAAAGTCAAAATGCACAAAATGTGATGTGATTGTCTATAATGTCAAAATGCACATTATGTGATTGTGTGTAATGTCATAATACACTCTATGTGATTTTGTGTAATGTCATATTGCACATTACATGTATGTAATTGTGTACAAAGTCATAATACACAGTTTATGATCACCTTTTTATTAAAATAATATGTTCTCATAATTTTTAGATTATGTCATCTGCTATCAACCAATATATGATTTCACAACTATTAGTAATAGTTTTGACTTTTGAATTCAGTCGTACAAACCTAAACGTTTCTATTTCATTCCTATCCAAAAAGTGTAGTAATATTGTGCTTTGTTATTTTTTGAATAATTTAAAATATTCACCATCCTCAAATTTTTAAAGTTGTTATCAACTAATTTATTATCCAGTAGAAGTTAAATTAAATCATTTATACCTATATATTCTTCTATGTGTACTGTACAATACTAGTCATAAAATGTACTGTACTTTAGTATTTATTTCTTTTGCCTATTCTTTTAAATCCTTCAAGTCAATAGGGCTCATCAGAACATACCTTATAATAATTTATGTGCTGTTAATCCACTTACAGTATTTGATAAATGTTTAAATCATAAAGGTGACACACCAAAAAAATACTGTCAAATAGTTTTGGCAACAAATAATAATATTCAATATTGGTGAATGAGCTCTGAATATATTGGAGTGTCACTTTTTATTTGTCACTCATTTGTGTGAGTGTGTCACCTCTTTGTGTGACAGTCGCTAGAGGTTTGTCACCTTTTTGTGTTCTTTAACTATTTTACATTTATTTACAAGCTCGCCCGTGGTATTTTAGCTGTAAGTCAAATCATAGGATTAGCAGGGATTCTAAGTGATTTTATACATGGACCATGAATTTTAATAGAACAACTTCCCTCTCTTCAAAACAGCAACCTGTGCACGCAATCAAGAAAGCAATTAAGTTGTATTTTGTTCTTGACAAGTACTCATTTGCTTAATTGCTTTTATATTTCTTTTTCCGATGCAATAATTACATTATGGTTTGATTCACAAACTGAATTGAATGACAAACATTTACTCATTTTGCACTAACAGGGCCAATAATGCTGAATTCAACATAGGCCCTTTAATAAAAGAAACCATAAAAAACTAAAAAATGACAACAATTTATGGTCCACATAGTATTTCAGGTAGAATCACTTAAAACTCTCCTCAATGAATATTTATAACTTTGACAACCAAATCATTCTATAAATCACATCTCACTAAGATCAATGGGTCTCTTACCAGAGATACCATGAAAGAAGGATCGATTTAAAAGCAGGGGATTAAAAAGATTTGCATAGAAAAAATAACATCACAGTGTTAAATGAACCGTGAAGAGAATTGATTAAAATGAAGTTATATTGTGAGATTTATAATAGGGAATGTATTGGTGTCATAGTTTTAGGAGCTGAGAATTCCTGCAGTAGATATAATTGTTGTCCCCTGTCTATGTCATCAGATTCTATGTCATCAGTTTCTATGTCATACTATGTAATCATTCAACACTCTTGCAAAGGTGTAGGTTGTATTATGGTTTTGTTGCTCAGTCTCAACTGCTTACTTTTTGCAAATTTTGAGGTGATCGATTTTTTTAAAATATAGAAATGAGACATAAGTGTTATTCAGTCTTTCTAGCTTTATAAAAATAATTTTAATCATATTCTTAACTATTTTAAAGTGAGCTACTGTCATTAATTAGAATTATTAAAATTTCTATTTTTGTTTCCATAATCAACTTTACAAATTAAAAAAAATCTAGTCTGATTTAGAAAAGATGTGGAACACAAATATCAAATCTGTTTTTGTCAGTTTTGATTATGGAAGATTAAATAATTCATTCATTCACTTGATCATCTCATAAATGTTGTGTTGCTGTGTCAATACATGTCTCTTATTGTATATTTGTACATGTATTGCAATGTCATATATCTCTAGAAATGCATCATGGGTATATCATCAAGGAATAGCCACATCCCATGAAAGATTCATGGGGAAATGAGACATTATACATTACCATAAGTTTTGCAAGCAGGCAGCATGTAGATGATGTTTTTTGGTTTTTCAGTTAAACCTCTGATTATGGCAGAAAAGAATAAGTACACCCAGGCGTTGGGTTACCCTGTAACACTACGCTGTACAGTACAGGGTTACCCAGAGCCTGAAGACCATGAGATAGAATGGATGAAAGGAACAGACTCTTTACAGGGAGGAACAAGGTATATAAGCTACACAATATGTTAAAACACAATCATTATTAACGTGTTTTTTATCCAATGAGAGGTCTCTATAAGATTCTTTAAAAACAAGTGAGTCTAGCAATTAAAGGCTATCAGCACAGTCGAGGCATTATACAAAATAAGATTATAAAGAAATATGTACCATTTATTGTAAATACCCTAGAAAAGTTAACATTTTTTATCAGATTTCTCCATAATTGATTCTGTCTTACATTATACGTATTCTCTGAGCCACCATTAGTTCATTTCTTATTGATCAAAAAGATTACCTGAATTTCAATTGTTGGTAACCATTCCTATCATGTATTGCAGTCGGGCGGTTATATTTCCCACCAGTCCAATTAGACCTAATTCAAAGTAGGTACAGTGTTTCTGCTCTGTATAGTTCAGTTTCTTTGCTTTCATTGTCTTCTCATTAGGAAGTTTTCTCTACTGGGTGTTAAATTCACGTTTTACCCTTTTTGAAGGTCAATAACAACTTTTCACATTCTCATCTGTGCTGAGCACATTGCTTGTTGTTGTTTTATTTTGAGAGTTGTTGTGTGTAAGTGTTTAATGCATATATGTTGTGATCCTATTGTTGTTGTATGCATCTCTTGTGTCGTGTTTTTGAGACACTCTGTATTCTTACAGTATTTGAGTATTACTATGTATTGAATTGATTGATTTGGTTTTCAAAGTGAGAATGTGTTGTGGATTCAAAATTTATTGTAAATGGTATACATCTATTCTCAACATTTATTGTTAATGTTTATCCATTCATTCTCAACATTTTTTGTAAATGTTTATCCATACATTCTCGACATTTATTCTACATATAATCCATACATTCTCAATGTATATTGTAAAAGTAAGCCATACATTCTCAACATTTATTATTAATGTCCATCCATACATTCTCAACATGTTTTGTAAATGTAATCCATGCATTCCATTCTCAACATTTATTGTAAATGTTCATTGATACATTCTCAACATTTATTGTAAATGTCCATTCATACATTCTCAACATTTATTGTATATGTAGTCCATACATTCTCAACATTGATTGTAAATGTCCATCCATACATTCTCAACATTTATTGTAAATGTTTTTCAGATATTCTCTAAAGACAACAAAAAGTTTAAACAACATCCAGACAACTGAGCTTGTTATCTTCAAGGTTGATAAGAGTGATATGGGAACATATGTGTGCAAAGCCAGGAACAAAGAAGGAGAGGGCGAAGGAGCATCTTTGGAATTATTAGGTAAGATGCATTTAATTTTCATTGTAACAAATGCCAGGTCCTTGTCTTTCTTTTGAGAACAGATTGGCTATTTAGACACTGAACAATATAAGATACAAGCCAATCAGAAAAATATTTTATAAACCAGAAAATTAATAATGTTGAATTTAATATGGTCTTGTATTTCAAGACACGGGTGATCATGTTTGAACATTTGGTTTGTTTTACTTTGCAGAGTCACCTGTGCCAATAATTGATAAACCTGATACTGCAGATAAAATCACAGGAAGTGCTACCATGACAACAGTTACCATAGCAACTATGACAATATCTCTTTCCCTAGCAATAGCACTGGGACATTTTTCATAGCAACCATTCTTTAGCCTTATGTGGAAATTCTACTGATGCCAACCTGTGCAGAAAATGCCATTCTGGTTGTGACCAGGCTGGCATCTTCTGAATAGGAGTATACACTGCTCAATATTGTAAAATACGCATGATTATTTATTGCGAAAATCAATGTATATAATTCATTAATTTATTTCATAATTTTGTATATTTAAATTAGATCTACTTGATAATGTGTAAATAATCTGAATATGAGAAGTGATCATTAGCAAAATAGATTATGGATGCAAATTTATATTAAATAAACATCCCAGGCTTATTAATACTATGTGATACAAGTAAGTTCATTCCTTCAGAATACTACTATCATTTTCTAATTATTTATTTTTGGACAGTTCCCTTGAATTTTAGTGTATGCCTGGCAGACGGCAGTATAGAATTCTTTAAAAAATAGGATATGTAATTGTTTATATAATGTTTAGATCATGTACCAGCGCTCTATTGTTTTCCATTGTCCCATTTGTAATATTAATGCATATAGTACTGTAGCGTAATACATGTACATGTTGATTTTATACAAGCTGTCATATTTGTAATATATAAACATACATATGTGATATGTAAATAATAAATCTTTATACACCATATGTACACATGTCCATATTATGTGTTGATTTCAATCTACAGGGTGTTCAAAAAAAACGCAACCCAAAGAAATTGCTATATCTTGAAAAATCCTGGTTCAATTATGTTCATATTTTCAGAAAATAAAGAAGAGACTGTATGTATAGCTCCTGTCAATGGTTAGTTGTAAAACATGATGCCTTGGACACCTGCTCAAAAGACAGTTGTACTAGCAAAATGCGAAAAACGCAGTCAGGGGTGACTGCAACCGCAAGAAAATTAAATAACTCCCTAACCATAGTGTTTTGGCTCTTCAAAGAGCGAGGGAAAGTATCGCAACAGATTTTTGACAGTAAATAATTTTTTTCTAGTAGTTTCTGGCTGTACAAAAATGAATGCATATGAAAGGCCAATGTATAATCTTTAAGAAAAATTCAAAGAATGGTTTCAAGATCAATTGGATTATCTCATAAGCCATGTTTAATCCACCCATCAACAAGCTTTTTTCAAAATACAATCGTCATTTTCACCATCGTCCCTCATTTTTTTTACAATTTTCATGCAAAGTTACATTGTACTTGAACACATGTTTCATCACTTAAAATATATAAGGAACTCCTCGTGGATTAGGATTATGATAATCCAATATAAGGGGATCCAATGGGGATCTAAAAGCTATGCTTTTAGTACAGCACACTCATATAAGATGTCATTAGTGTACCATAAAGTTAGTTCAAAATGTTTTCATAAATGAATGGTTGGACTTGTTTGATCCCCTGCTGTTTGATCCCCTGTTTAATCAATGGAGCATAACTGCAGCATTTCCCCCAAAATTCTGAATACCTGTCAAGTTGACTGTTTAATGTTTGAGTGCAGTTAAACCTGTGTGTGTGTGTGTAAGTTGCTTTGTTTGTTTGTTTATATCCATCTGTACTAGGTGCTTTGATGCCACCTTTGTTTAGTCTCTGGTGCTTGTTTTCACACTGTGCTATCACTTGTAAGTTTTACACTGATCGTTTGTAGAAGTAATTTTTTTGTTATTATTTATAAGTTGCTAAGAAATTCTAGATACCTCTCTTTATGATAATTTCTATGATGCCTTATTATAGCATTTACTTTGAACAGGTTTTCTGTATCTTGTTTATCAGTAATGATTCACGAGGTACAGTGCTATTAAAATCATAAATACAGTACAAGAATTTAGTACATCATACCTTTGCCAATAATTTTAGTAAGACAAATATTTTGATCCAGCTTCTGAAAAAAACATTGAACATATATGATGATGTTTTATAACACACTTCCTTATTTGAGTTTATCTCCAGATTGATTATTCAAATAATGAAATGAAGGATGATATGCTAAGAATAATTTTTGCATATTCATCAATTCAAGAAATGTTATCCTAAGAAAATGTTATGAGTAACATACACTCTTACCTTAATGTTAACATTAGGGAGATTAAGCTTGCATATAAAATCGAAACGCCACCCTATGACCAATCGCCCATACAAATGCATCGCTAAATATTTTCCATTCACATTTAGGTTGTGAAAAACATTGCAAGCTTAAAGTCCCTATTGAGAGTCTCTGAAAACCACAATCAATACCATTTAGTGTGTGGTGTATACTACCTTTATCATTATTTCTAAGATTTACAATAACATCTTTTTAGCAAAATGTCCGATGTCCATATTAATGTGAACAAATATAAACAAACATAGAATGATTCTATTGGTTGAGTCAACAATTTCAGTTATTAGGGAGGTTAAGATCGCACTATTTTGATGAACGTACACATGGAATGTGTAAACTTATGGTCCCCTATTCACGGTGTTATAGCATGACGGTTACGTCAAGGCGATTTGCAAAATTTTGCGGTAATGATAACAAAAAATGGCGGATGGGAAAGGCAGCATGTCCTCTTTCTCGCCTGTAGGAAATATTCACAGATAAGATTTCCTTTTAAACTAGTTCCATTCGGTGACGTATATATGGATGGTTATAAAGACTGGGTCAAATCTGCCAGGTGGTCTACAAGAAACAGAATATAATCTGTAAACCTACCGACTGAGATATCAAAGTTTATAATATTTGGTCCATTCTCGTGTTGTCTCAGTACATGAGCCACTCAAAATATTAACTGTAAGTATAAGTAAACTGTGTATAACTACTGCAAATTCAAAATACATTATTATGGCTTGAGTAGAACATAGGTGGTTTCCAATGCTCAATTGGCTTTGTATGATCGTATGTAGGTTACATCTATATACCACAAGGTTTTTAGGCAATGTAGACCATGCCCTAACAACAAAAACAAAAATAAACAAATTACTAAATTTTTGTGTAGTTTTGAATTTCAAACTCGACAGTTTTTCTCTTATTTCATGTTATCCCCGGGCATCAATTTGCAAAGGCTACGTTCAAAATATACATTACTGAAAGTATCACCGAATGCGATTTTTACATAAATTGTTCATCCTTTCATTGATACACAGAAATAGAAAATAATGCGCCAACCTTAGTTTTCTCTTCCATCGCAGCCATTTTATTGGATAAATTAGTGAACGTAGCTGTCCAACCTCGTTTTCAGAGGTGGCGTAACCACCATGCTATAACACCGTGCTATTGACTATTTTCACATCACTGGCCTCTTTTTGAGATCTGATTATTAGTCCCGAGCCCGACAAATGTTTTTCACAGAGCGGGATATAATAAATCACAGTTACACTGTCACGTAATTTTATAGGGCTCGCGGGATAGTCGCAATTGCAAACACCTTTATCCCGTATGAGCACTTTGTAGCACTGAGCCTCGGGACAGTCAGTTTCTCAAACTCACTGTCCCGTAATTTTTTTTTTGCAAACGACGGGATATAATTGATTGAGACCTGACATATCCCGGCGCTGGGTAAAAAAATTTGCTGCGGGATAAAGTGATTTCAGAACTTGACTAATGCTGATCAAAGTATATGCTATCAACCCATCACACATCTCTATGTAATTACCATACTATATTACCCTTGCAAAAAATTCCATTTTTCATGACCTCTTTGTAGATCAAAGTATATGCTATGAAGCCATCACACATCTATGTAATTACAATACTACATGTATATTACCATTGCAAAAATTTTCATGACCTTTTTGTAGGGCCGTGCCATTCGACCGGAATCGGTCCGAACCGCGGACTTTTGTTAAAATACCGGAATTCGGAATTTTAATATCATGTTCCGAAGGGTTTCGGAACAATATCGGACCCTTACCTTAGTACTTGCTTTGAATCGTTAATATCCGTGACCATTGTTCCTCCAGTGATGTTTTCCTTCAAACTACATCCAATTTGCATGTGTATTACTCGCATAAACAAAATAAATAGCGGAGAAATCAACAGAAATCAAGTTTTGTTTTACGAACTTTGACCTTCGGATTTCATTGGAAGTAGGAATCGACGGGGCGAAAATACTCATAGATAAATGAATAAATTTACTTTTCCATGACGTCTTACAATCTAACAGCGTTAATTAATTACATTTTAACTCTTACAATATCAGATTAATTGATTTAGAAGAAATTATCTTCCCCATGACAGATTTTCCTCGAGTAGTTTCGTATTCGTTTATATTTTTGGTTGCCTTTTATACTTGGCGTCGAAGTGCAAATGGCCGCCAAATCTGAAACAGGCCTGTGGGCCGAAGTATCAGGCAAAAAGTCTATGGTGTGGAATTTGTTTGGGATACCTCTACCAGTTGAAAAAAATAAAAACAAAACTATCTGTAAAGTATGTCAGACAGTACTTCCCTATGAAGCAGGTTCGTTTTTACGCATGCGCATTATGGTCAGAGCAGCCGGAAGTGAAAACAAGTAGAAAAAAGATCGAATTTTCTCTCTTTTTACAGATTTTAGAGTCTATTTCTTTCGTAAAAACATTCAAACTTGCTTGACAGGAAAGGTAAGTGTTAACCTGACAAACTTGGACGACGATATCGTCATGATCGCCGTCGAACTCACTCATACATAATTATTTTCATTTGTGAACCAAAAGGGGTTCCGAAAGTTCCGATTCCGTGAGACCAAGTTCCGGTTCCGATTCCGAACCGTCCGAACCGGTTCCGGCACAGCCCTACCTTTTTGTACTGTATTATATCAACATCTGTCTTTTATTTTAAAAATGTTGCTAAAGTTTATTGGGAGGGGTGGCACCTACACACTTGATTCAAAGTGCTATCTGTTATGTGGGGGGGGGGGCATCTTCACACTTCACTCACACCATGGTCTAGAAGAATCACAACTGTCACAATTCCTCATTCCATCCATCTGGTATCATTTAAATAGCCTTGAATATAATATGCAGTATGTACATAAATCCTTGTGTGACATCCTGTATGATTTATTATGCCTATTGCTGCATATGTCTTTCTATTTTTTAATCAGCGAATATATATGTATATAAATCCTGGTGAAGTAATGTGGTCATTCCTTAAGCCGTCTCATATCATTTATCATCCTAATTGTTCATATTCAACAGCTCCTTGCAGTGAATTAAAGAAAAGTTGTTTTTCACGATAAATACTGGTGAAGTATTGTGGCAATTTCCTCGTGTCTATCTGGTTTTCTTTGTCATCCTAATTGTTTGCTGTACATTTCTGAGGACCTGAATAAATCAATAATAAAAACATTTATTAACAAGACACACAGTGATAAATATCGCACTTTGAAGAGCAAACTGGCCACCATGCAATTTATCCAGCATGGCCAAAACCTAATCAGACCTTGGCACTAGTCTGCTCTTGCATCTGTAAACATTTCAAGTTGACAAGGTTAGCGGTTTTCCTGCAATTTTGATGACAAGAATTTATTTGTAGTGTGGAACTTTGGGAAAATTTAGATAACATCGTTTGTGA